CAGATTTTTAGGACAAGGATGAAATACAGTCACATTCTTTGCTAAAATATCAAAAGAATGGTCTCTAGGCCACGCTAATAGTCTTCCCTTTTAAAACATCTCGATCTAGGCTGTCACAGTTCAGATTATCTCAGCATTGCTTTCTATGCTCCTACTAAGATGGTCCATTAATCCCCACTTAAAGCACCCATCTGCCTTTCTAGTCCAAAGTTCCAAAGTCTTCGATAGTTCTCAAAAAAACAGGATGGTCGGGCCTGTCACAATTCCCCAGTCCCTAGTACCAACTTCTCAGTCACTATTCCATTGCTGTGAAGAGAAACCATGACCAACGCAACTCTTATAAATAATGTATTTATTTGGCTCTTGTTTATAGTTTCAGAGGTTTAGTCCATTATCATCATAGCAGGGAGAATGGCAGAATGCAGGCAGGTACTGGGGCAGTAGCTGAGAGCTACATCCTGCTCCATTGGTAGAGAGAGAGAGAGAAAAAAAAAAAAACACTGAGCCTGGCTTGGGTTTTTGAATCTTCAAAGCCCACCCCTAGTAACACACTTCCTCCATCAGGGCCACACCTATTCCAACAAGGCCACACCTCCTAATCCTTCTCAAATAGTGCCACTCTCTGATGATTAAGAATTCAAATATATAAGCCTGTGGAGGCCATCCTTATCCAAACTATCACAGAAAGAGAGAGGATATAAAGGTGGTGAGGATACATGTCAGAGGGAGCATCTGGGAGAGTAAGAGGGGACAGTTAGGGTGCATAGGATCAAGATCCATTGTATACATCTATTAAACTGTCAATGAATAAAAATTAAAACTACATATTTGAAATACTAGAAGTTAAGATTTTAACAAGCTTAAGAGAGAAAGAGGGATGTAGACCCATTGGTAGAGTGCTTGCTTTGTAGTCAGGAAGCCCTAGGTTAGACCCTCAGCTCAGCACCATGTAAATGAGGTGTCAGATGTAATGAATACATGGTAAGTTTGAGGCCTGCCTGGGCCACAAGAAAACCTATCTCAAAAAAAAAACCTACCTAATGACAATGGACAATTTATTTGACTCTTGAATATAACTGATAACCAACACCCATAGAGTAGAACAGAACCCGCCCTCCATCTGAGAACTTCAGTTCCCTGCAGTAATCAAACATCCAGAGTTCTATGCAAGAGCCATCAGCCCCCCACCCACTCCACTGCGGCCCCTAGTCAGCACTAACACACGTGAACATAAGGAAATGTTACCTGCCCAATTTGCAAATGGAAAAATTGGACTCAGAGTGGCCAAGCACCCTGACACCGCTGCAAATAGACGATGTGCCAAAAAGAGAGACTAGAAACTCCTGCTCCCCAAACAGGCTCATTTTCTCTCTTTGTCACTTCCTCGTGTGTTTCTTCGTGCTTCATTTCCCTAAGGGCTTTATAGAACCTTCTATCATTCGCAATCTGTTCTTAGTTGTATGAATCTGTTTTCCCTTCAACCAACATTTTTCTTTTTCTGACTTAAAAGAGGAAACTAAAGACCCAGTTTTACTAAACCCTTCCACAGCTCTCCTATGCTTCAGTAAGCATGAACGCACAATTGAGTTGCTTTACTGAATACCGTGCCGTTGGCCTAACAGTGTAATCCAAGGGAAAAGCCCCACGCTGAAAGTGTGTGTGTGTCTCCTTAGGACCAGACTACCAGATCTCATGGGAGTCCAAGTCAGGAATTTATGAAGGGTGTGGCCTTGGAATTATCTAGGTTACCCTTCTTATTATACAAAACATCAATAAGATGTGAGGCCCAGAAAGCACACAAAGCAAAGATATAATAAGTCAAGCCAAGAATATCATACACCTTCTGAGTCATCACTAGGGATCTCACAAACATACCAAGTGTAGCACATGTTTATTGCCTTGCCTTGACCGTCTGGAAACCAGACAAAGGAGAGGGAGTGATGGGCTGTGGACATGATGTTTGTTTATCCTACAAGGGAAAAGAAAGCCGCCTATTATGTTGCATCTGTATCAATTGCAGTGTAGGAAAAATCTGCTCAACTCCCTTTCCAGAAAGTGCAGGGTTACTGGGGTCCATCAAATCCTAGGTTCTGAGAATAAGGACAGTATGGATTAGTTTCACAGAATAAATATTATATAAGTCATTATAAGTTACTGAGTAAAAACTTGTCAACTTGTAACACTGGGGCCAGAGAGATGAGCTTCAGAGTTAGGAGCATTTACTGTTCTTGCAGAGGACGAGGGTTTGAGTCCCATCACCCACATTTTGTCTCACAGGCTTCTGTAATGCCAACTCCAGGAGACCAGACACCTTCTCCTGGCCTCTGAGAACACCAGACACACACACATGGTACACATACATACAGGCAAGCGAAACATTCATACTCATAAAATTAACCTAAAACCTTTTTTAAAAATAGTCTAATATGCAGAGATGCATATTGTTCAACTGTAAGAATACATTCCTAAGGGCCAACCTGGGCTGGTTCATAAAAGAAGACTCTACACAGGCATTGACATTGACCCAGAAGTGCAAAGGAAATGGGGTCTCGCAGAAGGCTGAGCCCCAGGAGGGCCAAGGATGCAGAGGTGCCTGATGTGCTGGCGTGGTTGAGAGATGTTGCAGGGCTAAAGCAGATGCAGTGGTGTGAAACCCTTCATGGATCCACTGGCATCGTGTGGGCCATGTGAACTCATTTAAAGTATTTTAACCAAGACAGACAGGCCAGATATATTTTAAAGGGATCATTGCAGTGTCAGCTTGGGGAGATTGATAGAGTGACATGTGACAGGCTGGGTAAGACGTGAGCACGGTCACATCAGTGGTGCTCAGGCTAGACCACTCGGCTCCAGTCTCCCGTTCTCTACCACACTGACTTGGCTTGCATTTTTCTTTTTTTTTTTTTTTTTTTAAGTTTTTTCTCCCTAAGACGGGACCTCCTTTTGTAGTCCAGGCTAATTTTCAGCTTCAAATCTTCTGGCTTAGACTGCCAAGTGCTGGAATTACTGGCTTGTCCAACCACACTTGAATAGCTTTGTTTTGGTTGGTTGTTTGTTTTTTTCTGAAGGGGAGCCCATTTGGTCAACCCTGCTTAAAACCATTGTCACAAACAAAAATGAAAGTAGTGCTCACTTCTAAATGATTTATTTTTTTCTTGTTGGAGAAGACTTGTTTTTGTTGAAGTATAATTGTCATTTCAAATTGTATTTGAGCCAACTGGGAACACTGTAATTGTAGAGAAGTTGACAATGACACATTGTCAGTGCAAATGGCAGGAAGGAATCACCAGCTCAGCCACCAAAGAGACGGCGGTGTCCACCATTGTGTTTGCTTTGATTGTACCTATTGACTTTGTTGTTGCTGCTGCTTTTCTTTTTGCTTTTACTCGCCAGTTGCCTGAAAATTGAACAGTGTAAAATACATGGGGTAAATAAAACTGGCTTGACTTCAGGCTATTTTGATGATTCCTGTAAGGACAAGACATCATAAAAGGCAACGTGCTTTTGGAGACGTTTACTTGATATAACTTTGGAAAGGTTCTCGGAAAGAGTTGCTTTGCATAAATAAGTTATCTGTTTTCCTACAGACCCAGTCAAAGTTTCTGTCACCTGGCGTGATGTGTCCGTAGCATAACATGCCGACGAGTAAAGCCATTTATCGCTCTCACTTTGACAATCCGAATTATCTTTTGAATATAGCCCTGAATGATAAATCAGATGGTTTAAGAGCAGGACTCAAAATTAGAAAATTGAAGTCCTAAGTGCTTTTATCCTAAGTAGATGGCACCTTGAATAGCAAGTGGCCCAGCTCTGAGCTGACTCAATGACCAGGGGCTCTGCAGTGAGTGATGTTAGACTCACACTGTGTGCAGGTCCGGAAGACCAGGCTAAGTGTAAAGTGTACCCACTGACTTTCATGGGAGCCCAATTCAGCAGATATGGACATTTTTATCCTATATTTCTTTAGAAAACATTATAAAATATATCTAGCCATTTGCCACTGGATTATTGCGGATTTTCTTTGAAAAAATTAATAGCTTTTCTTTTCCCAAGAGTTATTGCTCAGTGTGGCCTTGTATCATTGTTCCAGATTGTTGCTAGGGTGTGGCTCTTTTTTTTTTTTTTCGTTCTAAAGAAAATGTACTTTCAAATTTTTTCTTTGATTTAGTGGAGCAATGGCTCCTGTCAAGACAACATGGAATATCCAGTTTTCTCCCATGTTGGCCAGGGTCCAAGTACAGAGATGCTGGACTCACCCACTTTGAGGGAGCAGATTCACTTCCTCTCTTGGCTTTTTTCGAGTGCTAGAGAAAACGGCCATGATCACACCATGCATTCTTTTGAAATCCCTTGATTCGCTGGCTGCCAGAAAGAACACTGATGTGTTATGCTCCTCCATCCCCTCTGGATGGGTGGAGTAGAACAGCCAGCTCCTACAAGCCTGCAGAGCAAAGCAAGGAAACCAGAAACAAAAGTCCCTGTTTCCCCGTGTGTCTACCAGTACTGCCTCTGCTATTGCACTGAAATAGGTCCTGTGGTTGGGACTTAATTTTTTAAATTCTTCATTTTCATGTTTCCAAGGCTTTGTGAAGGTTACTTTTACCATTATTACAACCAAATACCTTAAAAGAAGCAGTTTAAGGGAGAAGGGTTCTATTTTGGCACATGGTTTCAGAAGTGATGGAGTCCACGTGACAGGGAAGGTAGGATGCGAGAGCAGGAGGCATCTGGTCGCATTGTGTCTAAGTCAGGAAGCAGAGAGCAGACAGTCAGCCATACCTCGGAGCTCACCCTAAATGACACACTTCCTTTAGTGAAGCCCCGCCTCTTAAATGCTTCACAACCTTGTGAAATAGCAGTACTAGCTGGGGAGCCAATGCTCAAATACATGAGCCTTTGGGGACAGTCCACATTCCAACTAGAACTCCCAAGTAACCAACAAAAATAAAAAAATTTAAAAAAATAAATAAATAAATAACCTTTCTGTTTATTTCTTCTAGGTCGGACGAATTGAAGACTTTCTGTACCAACTAGAAGACAACTTCTTAAAAACAAAGAAACTGAGAATTGCTCGGAGGCAGAAGACAAAACTGAAGAGGCTTCAAACTGCACAGCAAAACTAAGACGCTAGGGAGCAGGCTGCCAAGGTGTCTAAGGAGGCTAAGGTGGGCAGCACCTGGATGACAAAGGCCATGACCAAAGTGGTGGGATGCACACCCCTGCCAAAGATAGTCTATATATACTTCATTCATTTCAGCTAGCAACAATAAATGTTTTCAACATGTTTGACTTGACTCAGGATCAAATTCTTCTTGTGTGAAGAGCTCTTATAATAACTACTGCTGTGCCTTTACCTGCCTTGTCCTTTCAGACTTGACTAAGGTGTGCTAGGTCTACCCAAGGATGCTCATATTCGTGTGTGCTCCTTAGGAAATGATCACATGTCACATGCAGATAAATGCCATTGAAAATGGCGATCTGATGGTACACTTTCTCGGTCCTTAAGGAGATGGCCATGTGCAGTTTAGTTGATACTATCAGCACTCCCAGGAAAATCTGCATTTCTTCCTCTCGATCATTTATACTGCACTTTACCTCTTCTTCAGCCAAAACATAGATTCACATATTTGACAGGATGGTGCATCTGTAGCCAACACAAGAAACTCAACTAAGGCCCATAAAAGGATTTAGAAATAAGGATAATAGGAGGGATCCAGACAGAAAATAACATAAACAGAGAAGCACAAGTTATAAATCTTGAGAATAAATAAATAGTACCTTCATATAAGAATATGAAATGAAAGAGTACTGAGCATCACTTGATGCAATGAGATGGTGAATGAACAAATTAAAAGCTTGCTCTTAACATATGGAATGTTTATGTAGTCATAACTCAAGACATAAATATTGAAATGAAACAGTCTGGACTTCAGATTCTCTGGGAATGGTTTGTTCAACTCCAACTTTTATCAAATAGTGCCATTCCATCCTCCACGCCCCCGGGAATCCACCTCTATTAATGACCTCTTCTCGTGTTAGTTATTAATAGAGTTATGATCAATTAAAGACCATGAACGTTAAGAAGCTCCTTTTTGCTTTGTAGCTCATACCAGAACATTTTATTTCCTATGAGCACTAGGAAACTATTTTTTTTCTTGAATATAAGTCTAGCTGAATGAGAGAGGTCCAGGTTGGCTTAGTCGTCCATCTGACTGATAATAACACCTCTGGCCACTGACCAGGAGTCCATATTGGGGTGGAGAGATTGAGGAAATAGCCCAGTGGGCAAGAAAGGGACCTGAATTTGGATCCACAATATTCATGTAAAAAGCTGGGTGTATGGGCAAGAGTGAGGAGGTAGAGACAGAATGGAAAGCAACTGAGGAAGACACTCACTCTCAATCTCTGGCCTCCACATGAACAAAGTGCACACATGCACACATGAACACACACACATACACACTCATACAAAAGTTGAAAGACAAAGTTTAACCATAAGAAATACAATCTTCTCTAGCATTTTCTTGAAAGTGAAGATAAATTTTATGCTGTAGCCTTTCCAAGACACTAAAAGCAAACCTAGAAAAGACTTCTTGATAAAATAGAAGAGAAATATACAATTTTCTCTTTTTTTCAATAATATTAGCTATGTAGCTAATCCTTGCTATTCACCATGTCCATTTATCTTCTGCTAAGAACCAATTTCTGCTGACCTCTAGAGCCAGAAATGGCTTCTCTTTCAAAATAGCTGTGCTGGATAGTTTTCTGTCAAGTTGACACAAACTAGAGTTATCTGAGAGGAGAGAACCCCAATTGAGAAAACACCTCTAGAAGATTCAGCTGTAGGCAAGCCTGTGAGACATTTTCTTAACTAGTGATTTATGGGGCAGGGCTCAGCCCAGTATGGGTGGTGCCATCCGTGGACTGGTGGTTCTGTGTTCTGTAACATAGCAGGTTGAACAAGCCATGGGGAGCAAGCCAGGAAGCAACACTCCATGGCCACTGCATAATCTCCTTCCTTCAGGTTCTCGCCCTTTCTGAATTCCTGTTCTTTCTTCATTGATGGACTATGAGGTGGAAGTGTAAGCCAAATACTTTCCTCAGCACCTTGCTTTGGTTGTGATGCTGCATTATAGCAATAGTAACCATAACTAAGACAACATCTATACAAATTCCTGCCATGTCTGCTCCACAAAGGTAAGCAAATCTGCCTAAAAGCTGTGTTGGGGACACTGCCACTTGGTCACCCCCAAACAAGGAATCCCAGGGACCCCACAGCCACCATAAACCCTCTAGTCCACATCTACCTGATTTCAACCACCTGATCATTTCTTCATAATTTCCTGATTATTCCTCAAGGAATTTTGGAGCTGTTTGTTTTCTTGGGATTTTTTTTTATGTGAATGAGTGTCTGAATGTATGTGTGTGGTTGGTGCCTGTGGAGGCCTCAAGAGAGGGTTGGATCTCCTGGAACTGGAGTTATAGGTGGCTATGATCTACTATGTGGATGTTAGGAATCAAACCCAGGTCATCTAAAAGAGCAGCCGCAACCCTGAGCCATGTCTCCCTTTTCTTCTTTGGCTTTTTGTTTTCAAATTGTTTAGATCTGTGAGAAAGTGACAAGAATAGACAATATGACCAATGGGCCCACTACACAAGTCTTCCCCAACTATAAGCATTTTGTCACATGATCTCTCTTCCTCCTGCAAAAGACTGTTGTGACACATACACAGGACAACATCATCATTGCCCTCACTGCAGGCTAACCTGCTTTTTCTGTCAGACAAGCCCAGACGCCTCAGTGGCGTATTTAGGAAACTCTGGAGGAGAAGTCTCTGGACAGAACAGTCTGCCACAGCCATCTCCTCCTGGTCACTGTTGGCCTGTCCTCAGTGTCGCTGATGATGGCCGCAGCACCCAATGGGCTTGGGATCTTTGAAGAAGGATACGGAAGTAGCAAAGCTGTCTGCTGCTGCTTTGGTTTGGTAACAAAGAACCTTGCAGCTTACAGACATGGTACAGTCTTGAAACTGTTAATTCACACTTTTAGACATCTTCACGAGTGACATATATCTTCCCTTGGAGAGCAGGTGATACAATTTAAGAAGAGCAAAGCTGTTCTAATTTGTGTCAAAACACTCTGACCAGAGCACTTGAGGATAGAAGGGTTTATTTGACATACATGTACAGGCCTCAACCCATCACCAACAAGGTAGGAACTGGAAGCTTGAACCTGAGAGGAACTCTACACACAAGCTTGCTTTCTCTGGCTTTCTCAATTACCTTTCTTCTGCAGTAAGCCCCTGCCTATGAATGGCACCCCCTTCAATAGGCTGAGCCCTCTTGCACCAACAATCAGCAACTGAGAAAATACGATGGAGGCAATTCTACACTTGAGGCTCCCTTTTCCCAGGTAACTCCAGGTTGATGCCAAGATGACAGCCGAAAACTATGACAAAAGGTTCTTCGGAACCTCACGTGGATGATCATCAGGATAGATGCCAACTGAGTAGCACGACTATGTGAGCATCATGCAGTCTGCAGGGGAGGGACACACAGAGAAGCACAGGCTGCTGCTGTGAAGGCTGTCTGTACCTTCATAGTTAGAAGCTGGTGTGTTTGATTTAAACACTGTCGTGGTGGGCACTCCCACATGCTTCTGATGAAACCAAATTTCAGGAACATATACTAAAGTAATTTACCAAAGGCATATTGAAAAATAAAACTCAAAAGCATTCAGCACAGTTTGAGGGAGGATTTTAAAAGATAAATGCATTTATCCCAGCATAAGTAATAGACTAAATGATTTATGGCAGTCTATTCAATGCTTAGCCTAACAATATATAAAAAGTTTATAATATTAAAAAGTAGCACTCAAAACCATATATAGCATAATTATAACTACGTTGTAAAATATGCATATAAAACACTGAAGGGAAATACAATAAGGTGTGAAGAATAGTTGTATCTAGTGAAGTAATTATGGCTAATTTTATTTTCTTTCAGTTAATATCATACAGTCCATTCAATACCATCTTTTAAAGATGATTTAGTATCATTCTGCAGAGAAACAACTCAGTTAGTTCAGCTTTACTTTCTGTGCTTGTGAGGAAAACTGTATACTAATTCTTGTGTCAGAGAGAAAGGCTATCTGACAGACAGGCACCAAAGGAAGGCTTTCTTGTGGAATCCTGTAAGACACAGTTTTATGGCTGTCGCCACCAGGAATCTCAGGCACAGGCAGCCCAGAGTGTCACTGGAGGAAACATTCAGTAGAGCAGCAGTTTTAGTGGTATCAATGCCTGCAAGCAGCAGTTCAGTGTCTGGGCTGTCCCTGTCTCTTGCTTGTAATCCATATACCTTTCTCATCTGGTTATGTCTCTTAGATCTTTCCCCATGCTCACAGAACATCATCTCATGAAATATGAGATGATCACAAACCAGCACTCTTAAATCAAAATATATTGAAAGTTGAAAGACCACGGGCAGAGCAAAGCCTTGATTTACTGTGGCTTGATTCATGGAGATGGCATGATGGAGTCTAAGTTCCATCAAATATTTCACTCATTGCCTGATCCACTCAGCACTTCCTAGAGTTTGTGGACATTGATACAAAGAAAAACTTTGCATCCTTGACAGGCAGCAGACTGTCAAGATGGAACAGAGTGACACCTGGAGGCAGGCACATAATTTTGACAAGCCATCAACAGGAAGGAAAACCAGAAAATGGATCCAAAGAGCCTCCCAAAAGTTATAAATATAATGACATTCTTCTTGGGGTTCAATGGAGAGAATTCAGAAATACTAAGACTGCCTAACACAATCAGCACTCAGAATCATTCTTCCAATACATTATATGATAAACAATAGGAGAATTTGAGGATTAATTATTGTATTGTGCTTTGCTGTGGTCTTACATTGATCCCAAGACAATGTGCAAACTTGATATGCCTTAGTAAACAAGACTGTAACTTTCATTTTAAGTATATGTTTGGGGAAGTTACAATGCATATATTTTTCTCTTTTTTGCCTATATTTTTCAAGGAACCAGAGACCTTCATTTTTGATGCTAATATTCTGTGTCCTGGTTAGAGTTTCTATTGCTGTAATGAAACACCATCAC